AACACAGATCTGTTTCTATCTAATATCCGCATCTTATCATTTCCTTTTTCCACTGTAGCCTTAACTCATCCTGTTCTTGTTTCACTCTCTCCATGTCCACTGCTACTACCTTGGCTTGGGCTCTCACAATAACTGCTTCTTCCACACTTTCTCTCTCCCACTCCATAGTGTGGAGCGAGAGGGAGGTCTTGATAATACCGACCTGATTATTTTGGTCAACAGCTTAAAATGCCATAATGAAGCATTATCATAGCAAAAACCTGACAACAACCCGAACGCCCATCCATGGGAGAACAGATCATTTCCTTGTGGCACATTCATAAACACAGTCCTGTATAACAACAGCAATGAATGAATGAACAGATTACTAGCATAACCATCCACATGAACAAGTCTCATGAATATAACACAAACCATGTCATGAAATATAACATTCTACACAATTTATATAGATAATAAAGCTCAAAATAATCTGGGATGTTGGAATGCAGGGAGGTACATTTAGGGAGGGTGAAGTCATCACTGGGTGGAGACACAAAAGGAACTTGTGCTGTGGTGATGTTCCACTTCTTATCTTGGTGGTGGTTAGTGACATGGGTATGTTCACTTAGAGAAAAGTAACAACTATGATTTGTATGTCTCCCTGTATGAACATTAGTGTTAATAAATATATTTACAAATCCTGTAATTATTCCCTCAGGCCTATAAGGTAAAGTCCAAATTCATAAGATCCCCTCAGTGATAAGCACATTTCTCAAACCTCTCTAGGTATTCTCCTCGTGTATGTTGACTTCACTTAATCTGAATTTTTTGCCTCTCCCTGAAAGGGACAGCAGGGCAGGTGGTAGAGTGATAAATACAGGTTTTTAATGAATGAATGTGGGGTGATAATTGTGGGGCTGATAACACTTACCCTACAGCGCTTTTGTGAGGATGAAATATAAGAATGTACGTGCATTTCTTGGCACAGTTCCTGAAGCATAGCAGACACTCAGCATTTGTTAGCTCCTTCCTCCTTTTCCCTCCCACCAATGCAGATGAATGAACCTATGGTAACTCTGGTGATTATTAGGGTAGTGTTGCTGAAGTCACTTTCTGAGCAGTATGGCCTATAAATTTCATTATCCATTTGGTGGAGTTTATTCCCCAAAGACACTCTGACTTGTCTCCAATTCCCAAGAATACAAGTCTTGACACAAATGTGACTTTCTTCTGTCCCAACAAAACTCATACTTTAATGTTTAAGTCAGATCCCTTGGAAATATCACCACATACCCATTATCTGATAAAGGGATAAAGAACAGCTGCAGCTAAGGAAAGACATTTCATGGGGTCTGGTTTTACTTTATTTGAGCACTGTAGGTAGATGGGGTCATTAGAAGGATCTGAGAGTTTTAGAACTTCAAGCTGCTCTTCTATTGGTTCCTGTTTTTCAAAATATTACCTTCTTGCTATAAAAATGCTTTCTTTCTTGTGCCAGATTTCATAAAGACCTTCCATCTGGTCTGTCCTGATAACTAGAATCTTGAGATGCTCACTCCTCTTACAACTTGTACTTTAAAATGATCCAGATATAGAAGAATTAGGTTTTATAGCTTTTTCTAAAGGATTTTTTCTTCCTAATCCTACAACTGCATGTATTGAGAACTGACCAAGAGGAGAGAGCTCTAACAATGAACCTATCACAAGTTTTCTGCTGGCTAGGTTATTTTTCATTTGTCATATCTTAGGAGAATAAAACCATGACATACAAGAATTGAAATCTCTTAGAATAAGGACCATACTGAATCAGGTAATCCATAGTGAATCAGGTAATCCATAGTGGGCAAAACAAAAAGGAGAGAGAGAGAGAGAATACTAAGAATGAAAAACAAGATTAGAGTCAAACTGTATTAGAAATAGAATTCTCAAGGATTTTACCAATTTGTTGTGATCTAGGAGTATGCCAAATTGACTAAATGATCTTTATAAATTCTGGTCCTTAGTTTCTTAATCCACAAAATGTGGGAAAGGATACTAAATTTTGACAAGTAGATGGGCTATTGATGAAAGTCCTTGCACTCTGAGGAGGATGGACTTTGGTAAATTCACTCACCTGGGCCCCAAGCTGTAGGGAACATACAATGACTCAGGGAGGAGGAAACAAGGGAGTAGTTAGCCCACTCTAAAGAGCTGCCCCTTTTCCCCCTTTCTCTCTCCTATTCACCCATCTGCTCCCCTTTCCTCCTTCCTCGTCTACCCATCTGCTCCCGCCTTGCTCATAGAGCATACTTATCGCTAGTGTTTTCCTGAAATTAATATTCACATAATTTCATATGTAGAAAAATGTGGGAGGTGGAGAAAAAAGGACAGTACAGCATAAGATGCCCTGAGATGGCCTTGACAGCATATGGTATGAACAATAAATCCCCATTTGGTTAGAATTCATGTCTTGAGCATCTTCAAGCTTATTTTCTCATGTAAATAAGCCTATAGAAGTGGAGGAAAGACCTCCCCCTATTAAAATATTAGCTTTAGATCTTTTACTTGTAAAGGGTAGCGTAGAAATAAAATTCTAAGAAGGACCACAGACAAACGGAAAAAAAAATGGGATGTGCATGAAGGCAAGGTCTAGGGTATCAGACGTTTGAGCCATAAGAAGATAACCCAATGGTCAGGGCTTACTGTTTTCTGTAAAGGGATATATTTTTGATTTGAAGCCTTGGACTCTTGGTGGTGGTGGTTGTGGTGGTGTAACACGCTGATGGGAAGGAGCTTCAGCCAGTTTGGGCAAGATGCTGCTGGTGACAATCTCACTTTGCTCTCCAATAATAATCTCATCAAACAGCAGGGAATGGGAATATACTGCAGTGTCACCTGAGCTAGCTGTGTGTCCTAGATTTTCTTTCTTCCTAAATACTCTCTCTGAGACATCCTGACTTGGTTATTTACCTCAAAAGAAAAGAAATTTATTTACATAATTGATGCTGACCAGGCATCCGTAAGAAGAAATGGAGAGCAAATGTTTTAATAGGTACCGAAATGGCTAACAAAGGTGCCATCAGGGTGAGTATCAAGGGAAGTCGTGGTTTATACATGAACATGTGCCCAAGAGAACTGTGTGTTTGGGAGGATACTCAGAAGCGCCTGGCCTAGGAATATGGCCCCAAATAAAGTCACCATGGGCAGAAGAGAAAATGCAAACTTGAGTTTACTGTCGGTGATGTTGATTCCTGTGGAATTTTAAATTTGCCAGCTAGTAGATATAAATGGTCAATTTGAACACTTTTTAATATAAAAATAGTCTGTGAAGTCTTCATCCCTGGAAATCTTTATGAAAGGAACAATTACCATCTAAAGGAATATTTAGGCATGCATTTGCCAAGACCCCAAGAACCAGAGTTTTGGCTACATTATTTATTGAGCTCCTTTCTGGCTCTGTCATTACAAGTCTCAATTTATATAGAGATCTGTAGCGGTCCCTGGGTTTCAAAAGACCCTATCAGGTGATGATGACATAATAGTTAAGTTTTATCAACAATGATGAGTCAGGATTTGAGTGAGTTTCTCTGTATAGTTCTCTAGTGATGAAATATCTGGGCAGAAGTACTTCTCCCACCTCTAGGCAGCAAAATGGTTCATTGTGGAGGTGCTATGCAATTTCAGAAATAAGCAACACACTTTGCTTTAAACATGGTGCAGAAATTGAACCGAGTCCCACTCAGGAGGCTTGCTTCATTTTCACGGTTCTGTGGTCTAGGAGCTAAAGTTCTGAAGGGAAGAGAAAGGCAGGTAGGCATATATTTTTGTACTTGTTTAGTGGACCTCCAAAGCCTCTCCTCACTTATTTGTTGAAGATGGGTCATCTCATTTAATTCAGCAACCTGTTAAGTCAGGGAAACCTCAGATTCATGGGTCATGCTGGGTGTTTAGGGTCAGGCACATTATATCTAAATGTGTAACCGCAGAAAAATGTGACCCAGAGTAATGTCAAGTTCAGAATAGGTGCATAAACTGTTGGAGTCTGGGGTAAAAGAAGAATGGTAGGTGAACACCACATATTTGGAGAAAACACCCCGCCCCAACTTATTTGACCATCTATTATTCCCTCCTGGGCTCGGAGAAATCTGGTGCAGGAGGCAGGGAAGGACAGTGAGGAAGGTTAGGAAGAAGCATCCTGGGATGCTGACACACTCTGCCTCATCCTCCGAACTCAAGGACAAGCAAGGTATCCAGAATTGGACACAGCCCCCCAAAATAAAAAAAAAAAGTACTGAAGTATATATATTTTAACTATGCGAAACCATGTATCATCCAGTGATAGAAGCAGGAACCCCTTCCATTTAGCCTGGATGCCCCTTCGTCTTCGTTAAGCAGGAGTCCAGTCTCTCACCTTGCAGTACTGGGTGGAAATAGCTGAAGACCAAACTTCCTGTCTCAACTCTCACTTTCCAGGTTTATTTTGTAATTTAAGAAAATGAGTCAACCCTATCACCTGCCCACCTGGGTATTTTCTTTATCAGGACTAAGCACATCATTATTTTCTGAGGGCTGGAGAAACCACACCGTCCTTTCTAATCAAAGGTTTTTCAATCAGCCTTGGCTTTGAAATCACCTCGTCCTCCAGCGGTCCTCGCCGCACACCCGTCTCCGCGTGATTTCCACTCAAGTTTTTTTCCTCCTGGCACCCCTCCCACATTCATTTCATCTTTAAGCCGCCTCAAATCCTTTTGCAAGGAAGCAGGATAAAATTCTTAATCCACAGTTATACACAATGTCGACACTCCGCTTCACACATTTGAGGGCTGTCTGACCGAGAAATGCGTTCCTCACTAAGAGGGTCCAAGGGCAGGCACAGTGCCCAGGCGACCCCCTGTAGTCTATCTCTCCCCGTCCCCCCCACCCACGCTGCCTTTGGCCTCAGAGGGGCCAAAAATCCCTAAAGCAGCGCTTGAGCCGCTCACCCGAGGAGGGGGTGAGCAGGGAAGCCGAGGTCGTCCCCGGCAGCGTGCGCCCCTCACCTTGTGGACCGTGCGTACAGCCGCGTTGCACTGGGTGACCTGGGGCGTCCCGCTGGTTCCCGAAGTCTCACTCCGAAAACGCTCGGTGCTCTCCTGAGCTTTATCAAAGCACAGCTTCTCTCAACATCCGGCTCTGGGGCACGCTGGGCTCATGGGGCGAGGGCCCCTCAAGCGTCCTTAGCCCGCGCCGGTGCCCCCAGGCTGCCGCGAGAAGGAGCCAGGAGCGGGGCGCGCTGGGCAGCCGGGTGGCGCTGCGCTTGGAGAAGTCTGGGCGCCCCGACTGGAAGAGGAGGCGAGAGCGAGAGCGGGGAGGGGGAGGAGGAGGAGCAGGAGCAGAAGCAGGAGCAAGAGCAGGAGCAGGAACAAGAACAAGAACAGGAGCAGGGGGCAGTCTACTGAATCACCCGGCAGGTTGCAGGCACCCAGGACGCCACTGAACAGCGAAGGGGGTGGGAGGGACGAAAAGGTGAGCCGGGTGCAATGCGGGCGGTGGTTGCGGAGGAGAACTCGAGGGTCGGATCCCCGAGGTGTTTCAGGTCTTGCTTAGGCTGTAAAAGAAAAATTCTGGAGCGGATGGTGCCCTCAGGGCTCCCGGTTGCAAACACTAGAGGGCAGCGCTGTCCATGCTATAAGCCTGGCCTATGGGTTTGGTGGTGTGGACGCGGGTCCCGCATCCAGAGCCCTTTGTTGGGGACGGCCCAGGAGGAGAAGGGTCCAGGTGGTCCAAGGAAAGGCAGATCTTATACTTCTCTTCTGTGGCCAGCCGTGGTTGGGGAGAGAGGAAATACAGTCGTTGGCAGGTTTGAACTTCGCCGCTTTGTGGCTCCTCCAGGCAAATCCCATGGAAGTGAATTACTCATCTTTCCTTGAGGGGAGAATTACAGTCAACATTCACAGGGTGCTTTAAGGGGTTGGAGGAGAAGAAGAGGGTGAGGAAGAAGTAGGAGAACGTTGGGGTGGGGAAAAATGGACGGCGGCAGAGAGGTAGAGAAAACAAGAGGAGAGAAGGGGAAGTGATGGAGGTGGTATTTCAGGTTGGCAAGTTCTCTGTGCTCTTCCCAGTGTTCCAGGGGTATCCACCTGCTGCAAGGTGAGAGCAGTTGACTGGAGAGGGACTTTATGGAATCCTGACACTGCTGAAGGAAGCTTCCTGAGCATCAATGGGTTGTTTCCCAGAAGGAACTTGGGTGGCTCTGAAATCTTGAAGCTTTTTATGGATTGATTCCCTGATATTTTGGGAGAAAAAAAAAATCAGATTATTTGAACTACCACCCTGGCAGATGGGAGAGGAGAAATGAGGAGTTATAAAATAGAATAACAAATCTTATGCAGACTATATGATCTGTAGACAGCCTGATACAAACTGAAAGGACTTTCGAACCTCTATAGACAACCCACATATTTCCCCGAATACCTGCCTCACACTTTCCTTTCTAGTGTGTGGTTTAATGGCTGAATTGAGAAGGCTTTATTTGATTTAATTTTTTGGTAGCTTAGCTTCTCTAAAACAAATGAAATCCTTCTAAAATTCAGAACGTAAGCGTGCACGCCCTTCTTCCTGACTTCTGAAGGGCCTCTCAGGATCAGCAGGGGCTGGGTGGTGGTGTGAAGGGGAACGCCACTGAAAAGAGAAAGGAAGGTTGGTAAACTCTGGTTGTGAACTGTGATTTGCTTTTTTGTTAATCCTAAGAGAAAAGGCTTTAGTGTACTAAAGCCAAACAGGAGAATGGGATAGAAGGGTGTTTTCCTACCAAAGAAAGGTAGTACTTCTAAGACATCAGTTTCAACTGTGTTTAATGATAGAGCTGTTATGTAAAAACAAACAGAACAAGAATCCTCACTCATTTTAGAAAGGAACCTCATAGGATTATAATCCTATTTTGGCAACTCTGGAATCCTTCCAAAAGATGAATAAAATTTGAGTTCATTTTGGTCTTTTTTTTTTTAAGGAAATTAGTTTACTTATTCTTTGATCATTACAGGTTAGCAATTATGGAAACATAACATTATACATTTAGAAACTCTCCTGAATATACCTCAGCATACCCTGGCTTTGGCAGATTTTAGCTTCATAAAGTTCATGGTTATCCTCAAGCTATTAATTAATTTCTAGGATATACTTTACCAGTTTTAATGAAACTCAACTTCTGCTTAATAGAAGCTGATAATTCAATTTGTGGATTGCCCACTTAAATTTCCATGGGGCTCTTTGGGTACTTTAAGATTGTAGGTACATGTAAATTACATGCTGATTTCATAATGGAGAATCATTGTCAATTAAAAATATAATCTATAAAGATATTGGGTAGAGCCTTGGGCACGTGGCGTAACAAATTTATCAACTGTGGTGAGAACCTGAAAGTCATTGTGAAGGAATGAATTGATCAAATTCATTCATTCTTTCAAAAATGTTGGTAAACATCTACCCTTTATCAGGTGTGAGCCAACTTCTAGGAATACAGTAAAGAAGACACAGTTTCTTCTTTGATATACCATAGAATCTAGTGGGAAGACTGATCAACAAACTAACAAAGCCAATCCTAAGTAACAGTTGGGAGAAGGGGAAATAGAGTGTTCTGTGGAAACACAAAGGAGAGCACTCTAATCCAGCCTTGAGTATTAGGGAAAACTGGATGGAGGTGCAGGTGGTGGTTATGTGTGTACAGGAGAAGGGGTGGGAATGGATGGGGAGCGGGAAAAATGATGAACAATAACTTGTGTTCATCCCCCAAACATGTCTTAATCCTATTTGTTAGCATTCTGCTAGGATGCTGGGAACTTACTTAAATATATGAGGAAGCAAGCATACACGTGTTGCATTTTCCTCACAGGAATTAGACTAGACTATTCTTAAGGTAGGGACTATGTATGACTTTTTCATGTCCTCATTATAGAGAAAAGTCAAGACTCTAGTAGGCAATTGCCTGTAGTTTCCTATCTCCACTGTGGAAGTGGAAATAAAATGGAAAAGGAAGGAGTTGTGATGGGAAGGAGCTCATGCTTACTGAGTTTACACTGTCCTAGGTTCTCTCCATATGATGCTCCACCAAACAATCCCAACAACCCTATGACATATTTCTTATCTCTTCACTGTCGCCTTTTTTTTTTTTTTTTTTTTTTTTTTGTGAGAGAGAGAGTGCGTGGGGGAGGGAGGGCAGAGGGAGAAAGAGAGAATCTTAAGCAGATGCCGGGCTTCATCTCACAACCCTGAGATTATGACTGACAGAAATCAAGAGTCAGAAAAAAAAATTAAAAATTAAAAAAATTTTAAAAAAGAGTCAGATATTTAACCGACCGAGTCACCAGGTGATTCTTTACTGTTGCTTTTAAAGAATGAACTTCAAATTGCATCCTATGTTCATGATTATAGGATCAATCACTTCTATTCATATTCCATTTGCTAAAGTAAGTCATATGGCTGAGTATACTTCCTCCAAGGAGGGCTTCCAGAAGGGGATCTGTAGAGATGGGTGTGATAGTGACAAACTATGGTGAACAAGTTATCAATTGACAGTAGTCTCCAGGGATGGTTTTGAATGGAAGGTATTTTCTGTTTAAAATATTTGTCATTATCAAACTATGAAAAGAACATGAGTGACCATTGACTGGTTAATGAATAAAGAAGATGTTATATATATATAATTATATAAATACATATTTATATATTTAATGGAATATTACTCAGCCATAAAAAGGAATGAAATCTTGCCATTTGCAACAATGTGGTTGGAGACCTGTAAGTGAAATAAGTCAGAGAAAGACAAATACCATATGATTTCACTCATATGTGCAATTTAAAGAACAAAACAGGTGAACGTATAGGAAGGGGGAAAAAAAGAAAAGAGAGAGAGGGAAACAAACCATAAGAGACCCTTGAGGACAGAGAACAGACTGAGGGTTGATGGAGGGAGGTGCGTGGGAGATGGAAAAGCTGGATGATGGGTATTAAAAAGGGCACTTATGGGGCGCCTGGGTGGCTCAGTCAGTTAAGCATCTGCTTCAGTTCAGGTCATAATTCCAGGGTCCTAGGATCAAGCCTCACATAGGGCTCCCTGCTCAGCGGGGAGTCTGCTCTGGCTCTCCCACTGCCCCTTCCCCTTCTTGTGCTCTCTCTCTCTCAAATAAATAAAATCTTTAAAAGAAAACTACTAAAAAAAAAATAGGAAGGTGCTTGTTAGGATGAGCACTGGGTGTTGTATGTAAGTGTTCCGTCACTGAATTCTACTCCTGAAACCAGGATTGTATTGTATGTTAACTAAATAGAATTTAAACAAAGATGTAAGAGAAAAAAAAATCATTGACTCTATTGGCTAATGGTGTTCATCGACCTTAGGTCATAAGGAACAAAATAATGAATCTAGGCTGACTAACTTAATTGATGATGATATGTCATCAGGATCCAAACTTTACTTCTTGCCCTAAGAAAAACCTCTGTTCTCTGGGCATCCACTGGCCATTTCCCCATGCCTTATTTCCATAAGGTAATAACTAAGACAAAGTAGGTGGGTAAGGAGAACACTGTCATGGAACTAAACCTCAAGCTCTAGTGGTATTGACAGTGGCTCATGACCAACAAGCTTCTTCACTGGAAGTGATCATGAGAAGCAGGTCACTCAGTGAAGAGTAGAAATAGCCCATTACCAATAAATATTTCTTAAACACCTCTAGCCAGGAAATATTTTTTTATTAATTTCTTTTCAGTGTAACAGAATTCATTGTTTATGCACCACACACAGTGCTCCATGCCATATGTGCCCTCCATAATGCCCACCACCTGGGTCCCCCAACCTCCCACCCCCACCCCTTAAAAACCCTCAGATTGTTTTTCAGAGTCCATAGTCTCTCATGATTCATCTCCCCTTCCAATTTCCCTCAACTCCCTACTCCTCTCCATCTCCCTATATCCTCCATGTTATTTGTTATGCTCCACAAATAAGTGAAACCATATGATAATTGACTCTCTCTGCTTGACTTATTTCACTCAGCATAATCTCTTCCAGTCCTGTCCATGTTGATACAAAAGTTGGGTATTCATCCTTTCTGATGGCAGTGTAATATTCCATTGTATATGTGGACCATATCTTCTTTATCCATTTGTCCATTGAAGGGCATCTTGGTTCTTTCCACAGTTTGGCAACCGTGGCCATTGCTGCTATAAACATTGGGGTACAGATGGCCCTTCTTTATACTACATCTGTATCTTTGGGGTAAATACCCAGTAGTGCAATGGCAGGGTCATAGGGAAGTTCTATTTTTAATTTCTTGAAGAATCTCCACACTGTTTTCCAAAGTGGCTGCACCAACTTGCAT